TATATATATATATATATATATATCAGAATCAACCTAATAAAAGGGGCATTGCAGACAACCTCACAATTCTCATACATACACATGTCTAACACATAAATTTCCCTATTTACATACATACCACACAAATCTACCATCACGGCAAATACATCATTATTATATCAATTTTCTAAAAATGAAATACATTTTATTTTTACAAGCAAATAAAAATCTTATCATGATAAATATATAAAAATTATGTGATCTGTGTGCAAAACTCTCATTAAATCATAAATATATGTTCTTTCTCAAACTGATGGATCAGTCTCATGAATTAGATCAGGCACATGAATAAATCATGATGTGACACTCAACTGCCCCACTTTATTCTCATTCAAAGCCAATAGTATATATATATATCAGTTGCAGTAGGAAGCTTTCAAAGACAACAAGACAAAGTGAAGGAAGAGAGAATGGAAAGAATGGAAAGAGCTGCTCCCCTAACTTCTGAACTCAACGAAATATTTCTCCAACGGTTTAAAGAAACAAGGCAGAGGTACATACCAAATCTCAACTCTATTCAAAATCAATTAGCAAAAACTAAAACAGCAAGCTGAAGGCAAGATTAGTATATTAAAACTGGTAATTTTCATATTTATCATCTTCTGAATGGAGAAACTGAAATGATTCGAGATCTATTATGTTGGAATTTGTATTTATATTATTATATTATTTGTCTATAATCCTTAAAGGTAATGTTTAAACTTTATGTATTTTGGAATCTATCTTATTCATAAATGCGGAAATTATTTGTTTTTTGGCAGTTTGGGATTGGTTGATTCGAAAGTGGAGGTTAGATATGAGGAGCTGAGTGTGGAGGCAAGCGCGGAAGTTGGGCAGAGGACTCCCCCAACGCTCATAAACGTCACCATCAATGCCATGCAGGTGAAAGTGAACTTTATTAAAGCATAAGGACTGGTGATGGTTGAAATTCTTAATTTTTCGAAAAAGAGCTATTTTTATTATAAATAATTTAATCAGGGGCTAATTTGATAGAAATTTTTACATGCTTTATCGCAGTATAAAGCTTTTGTAAAATAAGGATTGTTTTTTTTCTGAAATTCTGAATCAAAGCTTTTTATTTGTTTGTTAATGGAGTTGAAATTGATTAGTTTTTAAAACTGGTTTTCAAGCTATGTTGTCAGTGTTCATCTGTGCTTCATGGATGGATTTGTTTGTGTTAGCTGATCAATTTTTCACCATTTATTAATATTTTTTTAAAAATTAATTTTGATTTTTTTATTAGGATTGAATTTAGGGGTTTATCAGTTTAAAAACTATATTTATCATGTTTCTTAGTTTTTCTTATTAAAATATTTTTATTTTTATTTCATTTTATTTTTATTTTGGTTTAAAATAAAATATAGTTGGTCTGTTAAAAACATATTTTGAGTGTTTTTAAGGGCGCTTAAAATTCCTAAAAAAATAATTGTTATCTTGTTTTTAAAAATCAAACATAAAAACACATTATTTAAATTAGGTTATAAGTAAATTCAAGTAGCCCATTATTTGAAGTAAATTCAATTATCTAGTTATTATATTTACAATTTCTTCAACACCTTCAAGTCAAATAATACCCTTTGTAAGAATAAAAAGACATAAAAATTATTATTTATAAGTATTATATTATATCTGCACTTTAATATAACCATTTATCTTAAATTTTTTATCAAAATGTATTGTGAATAAAAATCATTTTTTTAATGTTCATCTAGCTAATGCATTAAACTCTATCTTGCACAAATATTAATGCCTTGAGTACTTGAGCCATCTTAAGAAAAGTCTCCCAACATTTATTGCCTGCTTCAAGGGATCTTTGTTCTTGCCTTCAATTTACTTATTGTAGTCCTAACCACTACCATCCAACTTCAACCTTCAACATATCCTTTAGATAATTAATACTTATAGACATCAGTTTTGTTCACATTAAACCTTTTTCTGGCACATTTAATTCTTAAGCTTTTAAAATAAAGGTGGCCTTATGTTCTAAAAAAACTTCAATTACTTATCCAACTCAATTATTGCATTTTTGTATGGCCATTTAATTCTTATATATGTATTATATAGCTAACATCTAAACTTTAATTTTTACTTATGTACAACTCATTCTAATGTATTGCATATTTAACACCAAGCTTCAAATTTTTGCATATAAACCACTCGACTCTTATGTATTACATATCTAACACCTAACCTTCAATTTCTTAGACACACCACTCCAATCTTATGTGCACTCATAAGATGTAACCTTCATATTTTACATATAGTTTCCTCTGTATTAAATATCTAACACCTAAACTTTAGTTTTTACATACATAACCCTCAATGCTAACGCATCACGCGAGCACCTCATCGTCAATTTTAACATACATTCCACTCATTTCTTATGTATTATATATCAAACACCTAAACTTCCAATTTTTTGTATACAAGCCACTCAGCTCTTATGTATTACGAATATAACACCTACCTCTTAATTTTAGATACATTCCTCTCAATTTAAATGTATTACATGTCTAACACACAAACTTTATTTATAAGTCAAACCACTCAATTCTTATGTATTATATATCTAACATAAATTCCTTAAAAATACGAAAGGGGAAGGGCCTAAACAAAGAAAAGAATCTTACCAATCTTAGATATAAAATCAGAGCGAAAAAATACTCGACAGAGTCGTGAAATTGCCGATGCAAACACCCCTGAAGTCGTCGGGTGCTCGATTGAGAAGAGTTGTCACCAAAGCCGTGACCTAAGAGACCAATCGAACAGTTGAAGTACAAATGAGGCTAGCTGGTGCAAGAATAAAATTTTAGGGCAAAAAATGTTAGCATCGACATTATTGTTCAATGGGTCAACACTATTAAGTAATAAACAATATATCGAATAAGTTCAGCACAAACGTCGACGCAAACAGTTTACGTCAAAGTATTACCGACGCTAAACTGTTCATAATAAGCTTCATCAGAAATCAAACCTAAATTTGATGTGAACTCTGCGTCAAAATTTTTCATACACTAAAATAAACGCTAATAACTAGCATTCTTGTAGTGTATTCATTTTGTCGTATACATAAATAAGTTAGGAATTCAAACCATTAGTAAAATTTTGCTCTTCATTAGCCATAAAAACATGTGCAAGTTAACATAATTTTAAGCTATATAAATCAATACATATAAAAAAATAAATATCATTTTTTTAAGTCATCCAATGCATATGTTGACCAGTATTTCTAATCATGCTCTATCACTTATAATGAATCAATTCCAACCCAAATTTCAATCATTCGTCACTTCAAACCATTCCTTTAATACCATTTTGTGACACATCCTAACCAACATAATCTTTACATTGCAGCAAATGATACTGAGATGAGTTAAACAAAGAGATGTATCATTCTAATGATTATCTTCTTAGTATTATTTATATATAAGAAACGTAACATTTGTCTTTCATTTATAAAGATTAATGTCATATAGTTACAGAAAAATATGCATCATTGATCTCTTTAACATGTGTACAAAAATTATTTTCTCTATAACAAACAACAAATTTTTACATAAGTTCACAAAATCAAAACATCATCATATCATTATACTATTTTCTCCCTGCCCTTTCCTGAAAAAATATTAGCGTTAAGCACAAAAATTAAGTGGGATAATTTATATTAAACATATAATCAAATTTTAATTAATATAGAATATATAAATGAATAAGATGTGGGCATGTCATGCATCATAGTATTCATGCCATGTAAGCATATAAATACAAACCATGTAAATGTTCATAACTATTGTGCAATAGTTCATAATTTATTACCATGTTACATAAATATTAACATGATCATTTCATTTGGCTTCGTTTCATATTGCATTCATAACAACCAACTAAAACTTCTACACAAATTTCAGGTTCATCATGTCGGTGCCAATAATTAGTTCCTCAATCATCATGGTGTTTATTTTAATAAAGCATGTCGTTGAGCATCATTGCATGTTTCAACCTGAAATCATATGCATGAATCATGATTGAAAGTATTCATTCCATTATATATCAAATTAAATAGCCACCACCTGCCCTGCCTGCCTCACCTCTCTCTCTCTCTCTCTCTCTCTCTCTACAGCAAGCTCAGCAACTTGCCCTTTAAGTAGAAATAAACTTCATTTCACTAAACTATAAGTGTTTCATCTATCAAATCTAAGCAATCTTTTTCAAGAAGTCATTAATCATTCATGTTTATGAGTTTTCATTTACATACGCATTTTAATAACATTAATAATTATAATCATTCAATATGTAAAATTTCCAATCATATGGCATATACCACATATAATATTAATTAAAATTTATTTATATGCTTGTAATATATCATAATTGTGCTTAAGATCATATGATATCTCTTGCCAGATTCAATAATATTCTTGAGAAATGACTTAATACTTTATCATACCTTCATATAAATTCATAAGCATCACATGTAGTATTGTGAAAAAACCACCAAACAAAATCATAGTATTATTTAACATCACAAAACTTATGTTCGTATGTTCATCATATTGAAAAAGACATATAATGTAGCCTTACAAGTCTCATGTTTATGTAATCATATGTATCATAACATCCCAAGAATCATAACTAAAAATAGTATTTCATATATCCATCTTTAATTATAAACATAGTTTATTATAACATTTGATGTTATCATATAAATATCAATATGAAGAATTTTGTTTTCAACACCACCATAACATAGGCAATAAACAGTTTGCTTCCAAAATTCAGACAAATATTTCTTGCCTCGAGAGACTTATGTATACTCCAAATCTTCTTTGAGCTTTTATTTTTCTTTTTCAAGTTTTCTCACATTTTATCCTCTCCTAAATGGCATTCTATGATTTTGGCAACGACAACCTAAAGTATTCTTATCATACAACTTTCTCTAACAGCATGAAAATGTCATATTTACTTTTTTAAATCTCATGTTTTGGTAATCATAAAAGAGCCAAATTAGGATCATGTAATCCTCATTAAATTTACTAATAAATGCTACTTACCATTAAGCACCATAGATGCTAAGTTTAGTTAAACTTACATAATCATGTTTAATAATTTAATTAAATATTCTAAATTCAAATTATTTGATCGCCTCTCATTATTTGTAGTAAAAATTTTCTCATTTCGTATTAGATTATATAAATTTTTATTTTAAATAACAAACATTATTTCTTACAACTTCTAAATCCATTTCATTTAATTCAAACTTTAAATGCCCCAAAAACTACAAAAGCTGAGACAAATTTATTTTTTTTTTCTAAAGTAATGTTTCAAATGAATTATGCTAATTGTTTTTAATGTAATAACACATCCCATTGCTATTTAATCAAGATTAATCAATCATGACACTTATTAAACATTTAAGATGAATCAATGACTATAGAAAAATACTTTCTTAACATTTGTCATTGAAAGCTTTAATAAACTCTTAGTGAAATGAATTTTTCTAATATAATTTAGAAATTTAGGTGAACCTAGACATGAACAAGTTTTGGCTAAGACTTTAATCATGGGAGAATTTCTAAGTGAGGTGGCCTAAGTTTTTTCTTCATTTGAGTGTCAAGAGCAATAGACGAAGGAATTTAAGTTATTATAGCCACCTCAAGACGATCTTTAACAATTTTTTTCTTAGCTTGCACTCAAGTACAAGCTTTATACATAACTTCATTTGAGGAGGCTTAGACCAAACTAATTCCAAGTCCGAGGAGTAGTCTTGTATAGAGAATCTTAGTGCATGTTTCAACTCTAATAGAGCTTTCTTTTAAGACACATCGATCGCACATCATTTGAGTTTTAAATATTTTATGTAGAAAGACCCAATTCAAACATCCTTAAGGTTTCCCATTAACTAGAAGTAAGCATATACTATCTGAGAGCCTTTAAAAGATTTTTAAGTGAATAATAGTTACCCCAAATCAAGCATGTACCGTTTCAGAAAATTTAACCGATAAGTTCTAAACTATAATCCATTTAACTTACATAAATTAATAAATTTGTTTAGGAATCTTCGCATAGTTATCTAAAATGTCATAAGTTGAACAGATCTCTAAATGCCTTGTAGTAGTTGCTTTCTAACAAGAAGAATCGTAAGCATTGTTTCAACATGTACAAATCACTTCTCCACTCGAATTGCTATGAATGTGGTGTAGCAAATGCTTATGTTGATTAATTTTTCTAATAAAGATCAAATGGTTTACTTTAGATATTATGTTATAAGTCTAAAAGCATACTTTCAAAGATAGATATGGTTAGGAAAGTTTCCTTAATGACATCTGAAAATAGAGAACTAGTTGAAGACCAAAATAGAAATAAAAGGCAATTTCTACCTTCTCAAAAATAATGAGTGCATTTTACACCTTCTCATATGGTGAAGGACCTCAATTCCCTCAAGCATGCTTGGTTGTTCATTTACTAAATTGATCTCCTAGTCACTATAACCAACTTGATCTAATTTACTTAAGGTTTGTTAATTTAAGTTGAGGCTATTAATTCATTAACTTTGAGGAACCAGTTTGGTCTAATTTAAATATGTTAATTTAAGTTGAAATAGAATCAATCAAATGTTAACAGAACATATTACGATGATGAGTTAACCACTTAATGACCATAAATCAAGTCTAAGCAAGCTCATTCTATTATTCCTACATTGTCATATGTGAGATCTACAAATAGGATCCCAAGTGAACCATTACATTCATTCTAAATCCTCTTAATTTTGAATCTTCACAAATTTCTGAAGTAATGATTTAAAATGAAAAAGAAAATAGACTTTAAAAAGATTCCTTTTTTCATATAGATTAGTTCTACAATTTTCTTTTTAATAAGAATTGCTTGGGTCCTCAAAACCTCATTGCAAGTTCCCCTTATTTTTTTTAAAATTGATTTACACTCACTTTGCACTCAATCTGATTAAAGCATAAGCTTGGGTCCTCAAAACCTCATTGCAAGTTCCCCTTCTTTTTTTTAAAATTGATTCTAATGTTCAAGAGTTCTTCCAGAAGATAACAACCTTATGATAAAATAATTTTTTTCTTTTTACTAATTATAAGTTGGATGGAAAAATTATTCGACATTGACTACAAACGTAGCTTTACATTGAGAAGTCACTAGTACACAGTCATACACTCACTTTGCACTCAGCATACAATCATGTATTGTTGCAAACCCAAATTAGATTGAGCACACAACGGCATAATAGTGTGCTCATGTCATTCACATGTAAAATTAGTCTATAATTTGTGCCTAATAATTGCTCAACAAGATGAGACCCAAAACCACGCCGGCCATACATCAAACAAATTTCCTTATAAAGTTTGCATTAAAACAAAAATTTTAAAAAAAAATACATGCTCTGATTTTAGAGCAAAAGACTAAAGAACATGATACGTGATGCAAAATCATAAATAAATTTTAAATTTCCTAAAGACTTGTTTGACATCATTTTTATGTTTTAATAGATTTATTTAGGGACTTGAGATCAATTTTAAATTTATTTTAAAATTTTTTAATTTGTTTTTTTTTTTTTTTTTTGAAATAAAATATGCTAATATGTTATAATATATTTAATTATTTTAAAAAACTCTCAAAATATACATTTATAAGAAAATCTTACCAACTTCAGCTTAAGAACCAAATCAGAAGAGTTTTTATCCTATTAATTCGACTGGATTGACTTCTAATTCAGCTAACACAACCGCACATAAGCTAAAATAAGTTGTTTTATACTAACTTGCTGATCTGGCAATTAATCTCAAATAACATCTGTAAAGAGTTTAATGTCCCTAGTCCTGTAGTTTACTGGAGTAAATATACGCTGAATCTGCTTCTGAAAACCAACTTACGTGAGCAGGAGATGATGGAGAAACTATGTCCAAGTTCCAACAGAAAGCTCAACAAAATTCTCAATGGACTTACGGGAGTAATAAAGCCATCCAGGTGAGTTGTGCTTGTAAAATTCAGCGTACTATACATGATTCCATTTTAAGATAATAAACATGGGTCCACAAAGCTTATTTCATGTGTTAGTATCAGTTCAAACTACTACCGGAAGAAATAAATTATGTTACTGTTCCATAACAAATAAACTATCTCAACAACATTATTCAGGCAAGAAAATTAACCATACATCGATGAACTATATCCTTAGATGAAAAAAACATAATTAACGTACTTGAGCTTAAGCTATAAATGCTATGGAATCGATGCCCTTGATGCCCGCCTTCCCTCGCTACCCTGATGTTTGCTACTAGCTTAACATCTCGTCCGCCACCCAGCCACCTGCAAACCCCTTGTTGATCAACGCCACCACCCGAGACTCACCCTAATTTGAGTTGGAGTGTTGAATCTATTGTGGTTTCCCCTTTCTTGTTTGTTAGTTATCGTCACCTAATATTGGCATTTTAGTAATAATATTTTTTGTTAGTTGTTAGTTGGGATCTCTAGTATCATTCAGTATAAGAGCTAGTCTAACTCTATTCATATCCTAGGGTTTCTAGCATCCATCAATACCCAACCCCACCACACAAAATTCCTTCCCTTAGCTGATTTTTCTTTCCCACCCTAAATCATCCATAATATTCTCTTCCAATTCCCAAACATAGACCCAAGCCATGCCACCGAGGATGCAAAGGTCAGAAGCCTAATTGAAGAAAAAAGGACATGAGGTCGTTTATGATAAATCCATAAAAATGTGTCCGAGAGATTTCTAAGAAAAATATGCAGTGGGAAACACTTCGACTGCAACAACGACTCATCACCTTTGAGAGAAAACTATCCACAAGGTTCATAGAAATTTTACTTGATCCCTACGATGAAGAACCGCTACCCTGAAGATTTAGCATGAAATATTGAAGAAGCTAAGATTTTTGAGTAAAGGTGGATTTGCCATATTCCGACAATTACATAGATCCAGACAAGGTCATCGGTGGCTCTGGACCTTGAAATATGTCTTTGAGTGCTAAGATGTCCCATCAGACATAATGATGAAACTATCTACCTGCAAGTTAAAGAATAGTGCATCTCAGTGGTGGACAAACTTAAAGATTCTTCGACAGCGAGAAGGGAAGACTAAAATTACTACTCGGTTCAAGATTAAAAGAAAAATATAGCATCAGTATCTGCCCACGCATTATAGGCAGAATATGTAAGCTTCATCAGTTACTGCAACATTACCGGATGACTATCACATCTTACAAATAGAGTTCAACCCCAGGATCAAGCACGGGGAGTACACCCAACAGAATATCTAAGACGACCCAGCTTGAGGATACACTAGTTCAGTGGAGAGAACAGGTGAAACCAATCCACATCCCCAAACTCGTTCTAACACGGAAATGTTTCAAGTGCCACAGATTTCAGCATATTGAATTAGATTGAACAACCAAATGAATGGTCAATGTCACTGAGTAAGGCGATGTTGAAGAACTGGGAAATGAACTAATAAACACTGAAAAAGGTAATGACACAAAGGAATACTAGATTACAACTGATGAAGGAGAAATGCACTTAGTTCAAGCTGAGTCCATGAGAAAGACTCCAGCCGATTAACGGTGGTTGTCCAAGATTATCTTTAGTTTGAGGAATCGACACCAGAGACATGACAACCCCAGATAAGAAAAATTTTGACTTTTCAAATATATATACTCCTTCAGTTGCCCTGCTGAGGGAAACCTTACAAATCAGAGATGATAAGTTTCTGAGCCACTTCTAGAAAACTATATGCAGTTAATTACAAATTAGATTCAGTTCATTAGTATAACCGCCAATAGATGGAAAGACAAAAGGGATGAGCCAAAGCTTTGGAAATTGTCTTAGGAGCTTGGTGGGGAAGAAATTTTTTCAACGGGATCCAGGTCCCACCAAAGAAGAAGAGGGCTCTCTTGAGTGGTTGCTAGTGAGAATGGCTCGGCCTGCCAAATATTTCATTCCAGAGTTGATTTCTTCTGACATATTTATCAGATTTATTTAGCTAGACATGAGAAGTAGAAGAAAAAAATTTGCGAATTAATGGCTTGAGAGTTACTTTATGAGAATCTACATTTATATATAGTACCAGTTCAAGTTGAGTCAAAGGAGAATGGATACTTATTCAATTAAGATGTGATTTGAAAGAACAACGCGTATAAGATTGACTTATCGGGCAGTTATAGTAGCTTCAACACCTTCAACACAATACTATACAGAGTCATAAACTTTGACAAATGAGGTCAAAGCTCCCCCAACCTCTGAGAGCGCCTCACGCACTGTTGCGAGTGTGAAGTGGGATCGTGTCCTGAACGCGAGAAGTCCCGCATAGGCAGTGACCAACTGCTCTGCCTGGATCAAACCGATCCAATTTTTTTCTCTTCTAAGAAGTCGTTTAGTCTTTGTGGGTCTCTCATAGTTATCTTTTTATTATATATTTATTTTCGTATAAGTCTAAGGTTAGTTTTTGGCATGAGTTTGTTTAGGAGAGCCATCGACATCTGTTTTCTTCTTCGAGGGCTTTATTTGAAAGTTCGAGTAGTGCTCCAGTTGTATATCTATCTCTATGTGGTCATCATCTTTCTCATCCCCTTCCAGATCCTCCCCACGTGACTCTTGTTTGTCCTCCATTGCTTTAGCCGCCCCCGAACAACTATCGTTGTTAATTTTCACTACAATTTTTCAATTTCATCTGCAAATCCTCGTCGCCGCCTTCCCAGACCATCCTTTTGTTGTCCCGCAGTCCCACACATTCCCTGTCACTACCGTCATCATTTCCCCTCGCTGCCGACAACCCGAACAGCCTTTCCCGGCTGTTTTCTTGCAGTTCCAGCCATCCAAGCCCCTTTTATTTGTACCTTACAGAGGTTCCATCCACCAAGGTACAGGACCGTCCACTCCACAGTCGTACCGCTGTCCCTGCTTATCCCAGCCTCCCAAACCACCACTCCTTCCATTCCCATGCGGATCTGCCACCAAAACCCACCCTCTACCCCCTTTCCACGCAAATAAGTCTAATACAGAGTTTAAAATATAAGAGAATAAAAGCACTGTGTACTTAATGTTGATCCTTTGAATCAACATAGATAATAACATTCATACACTTAATTAGATCAATACAATCAATTTATCAGGCATTTAATTTTAACTCATAAGTAGTGCAACTTACCAAAAGCAAGTATAATTAAGTTTCTAAAATTATCATTTGGGGCTTAACTTTAACAAGCTCGTCTTAAGGGCACACCTAATAGCCCCTTCTTCCTAATTCCTCCTTCCAACCTTTAGTCACTCATAAATAGGTTATAGGAATGACGAAACTACCTATTGCTCCTGTCCCTCCATATTTTTATTTCTTTGTAAGGTAAAGTAGTATCCAATGCTCCAAAAACAGGTAATTTAATTTATATGCAATTGTTTATGCTAAAAAAGGATGCTAACTACCAATAAATGGTTTGATAAATGCAATTATATAGTGAAGCAGCTTGAGCTCATCTCTCACTTAGATTCTCTACCCTGCTAAACTCCAGAAGTTGATTGGTTAGTGTACACGGAAAGTCTGTTGACCATTAATAATAATAATAATAATAATAATAATAATAATAATAATAATAATAATAATAATAATAATAATAATAATAATAATAATAATAATAAAGATTTATGAAAAGGGGATATAAATATTGCTTGATTAACCCTAACTTAACAGAAATATAATCTATTAAATACTTCAACTCCAAATTAATAACTGGAAGAAAGAAACGTGTTCAAGAGAAAGATCCCAAAACAGCAATCTTGTTGCCTAATCCAAACCACACAAAAATCATATAGCTCTGCTAAAAGAAGTAGAATAAGCAATATTTCAACACTACTTAAAAGAAAGTTTCGAAAGCTAGTAGATGATTTTTAGATTTTAACAGTCCTGATGAAATATTTTCATGCAATGTTTATTTAATTTGGCAGGATGACCCTAATCCTTGGACCACCAGGTTCTGGAAAATCAACATTCTTGCGGGCCTTGTCAGGAAAATTGGATCCAGAATTTAAAGTAAGAACAACACACTCTTAAGCTCTTTACCAGCGCAGTTGTCAACAATGCATCTATAGGCAACCACTGTGTTTTTAATATTGAAAGAGGTAGCACTTGTTTCATAATATAAGTTTCGGAGCTAAAAGAGTTCACTTTCTGTTGGCATTTTGGATGATGAGAAGTTGACATCTGACAAGTAATTCAACAGAATTTTGCATCCTAAAAGAAATCTCTTTCTTGAGTTTTGGCTTCGACAAACTCATTCATGTAATCATTTATTTGTGCATCAATTCAACTGTATCCCAAAATGATTTGGATTTTTTGGATTAATAAAGCTAAGCAGAATAGTTGGGATAACTTAATATAAGTTGATTTATAATCTGTTATGAACACATGATTTTTCTCCTTTGAGAGATTTTCACCAATAGTGGAAAATTTTCCATCTATGCGGTACCTTGAGGGCTATTATCAGATCTTTCATATTTATATTTTAAATCCAAACAGCACTAGAAGTAATATAGCGATCTCCAACATACATGAATAATTTAGACTGTTTTGAATTCAAATCGGTAACAATTCAATTTATTCTTCACACAAAATATCCAACTTCAATTATGCTTTTGTGGTCTACTAATCCAGTTTTCTCTCCTCACCTTTCAAAAACATGATAATGGAATGCAAATAGATCAGTGGAAAGGTCACATTCAATGGGCAAGAGCTTAAAACATTTAGCTCTGAACAGCTATGCATGTACGTTAGCCAGCAGGATCTTCATCATTCTGAGATGACCGTGCGCGATACATTAGATTTCTCCAGCAACATCTTCGGAACTAATAAAGCATTTGGTAAGTAAATTAATCATGTCTTCATTTTAAAAGTTTAAGAAATTGGTACTGATTTGGCATTTAATCTGATGTTTTACGGCTCACATACAAAAGAAAAATAAATTAAAAAAAAATAATTATTATTTCCTTAAATGAGGGGTGGAAACATGTCAGATAAGCTAATAATGATTATCAAATGTTTATGTTTACCATTTAATGCATCATCATTTGATTTGTTTCATGGTTTTTAAACAATAGTTATGTGGCCGCTATCTCAATCAATCATATTTTTTCCTCACCCAAAGGAAAAGGGTCATGGCTATTGGGTCAGCCATATGTGATTTAAAATATGCATGTCTTTATTTATATATTACGAGGAATGTACAAGTTAAAGTTTAGCATTCTTTACTAATCTGATGCAATTAATAATAATATAATATTATAAACGTCAACGAATATTCTATAGCGAGATGGAGAAACTGGAGTGCAGCTTATGTGAATGTTAGACAGATCAACGCATGCACCGACAATAGAGGTGGGTGCCGAGACAGTTTAGTCTGGTTGTTAAAGCTAGATCGAGTTAGTTCAAAAGAATTTACATAATTGTCAAAGTCGGATCAAGCAAAGTAAGAAGCCACCATTTTAATCGGGTGGTTAAAAGCTAGATCAAATTAGTTCAAAAGAGTTTACTTTTCATTTCCTTTACTTAAAACTAAAAACCCCTAAATCATCATGATTGCATTAGAAAATGCGCCCCTATAACACCCAAATGCCAATTATGTATTTTTTGTCAACCTAAAGCGTTTGACTTACACGCACTTTTTCAAAGTCACTTTATCACTTCTTTTTGAATCAATCAGTGTAGTAGTTTATGATCATTTTGCTCTACCAAGATAATCTCCTTAAAATTCAAATTTTTAATTTAAGATAGCATTTTAGGAAACATGAGATGTCAAGGTCAACACAGAAAAAAGTGTGCTTTTGCCTGTGTGTTTAGTTGTCAGCGTAGCATTAACTAGTATAAGCATGCTTGTTATTAATTATCTAGAACTTGTATAACAATAAAATAGAAAGTTTGCATAAAATTGCTATTTGAAAGGTCTAGCTCAAAGACAGAAAAATAAGCCAAGGCAAATGTAAGCGATAGGGATATTTTATAATGTTCTTAGGTGTCATTTTCCAAAAGCTACAAATGCTTGGAAAATTTGTAGGTTGATTTTACAGTCTGCCCCTTCGTCATAGCATAGACATCTAAAGAAAACGGGTTCTTCACGAATGGCTACCATATTACTTAAAAAAGCCCTTTATTTTATTTTTTATGAAGAGGTGTACCACAAAAAGATTGCAATAATGGTGATACAGCATAAAAAAAAATTATTATGACACCAGTCCAGACTCCAGATTAGCCTCTTTCTTATCACTTTACACAACAAGTATCTTGAAAATATAATCTATGTAAACATTTCTTAATTAAGTGCACTAATATAACATGGATCGACTATCTGAAGTTTCATCTAATCTATAATTTATCTACATGGCAACTAAAATTGGCATCAATTACAGAAATCATTCTATGTATTACATAATCCCAACCTGAATAAAATATTGCATTCATCCAGAGATTTTGAGCGGCATGCCAGGGTCAGAAAGAGCATCAACCAATAAATTGGCCCCAGAGATAGATGAACTTCTTGAGGTGGTTTCTTGGTCATTATAATAGCTCAGAGTTTTGACTGTTTGATAATTATGCTGCTCTTATTCAGGCTACCTCATGTGGAGCAGGAAGCAACTTGACTACAAATTACATTTTGAAGGTATCATCTTTTTATCCTGAACACCATTCACTCATGTAAGTATATGATATTTTATACCAAAGGCAGCCATTAAAGTTCATAAAAATTTAAATAAAGAAAATCGAAAAAATGTCAAACACAATTTGACTGTAGTAATTTGGAACATCTAGTCTTACATGGAACTCTATTTTTCCTATCACCAGCTGCTTGGCTTAGAGGACTGTGCCAATGTTATTGTAGGAGACGAAATGAGAAGAGGCATTTCAGGAGGACAGAAGAAACGAGTTACCATTGGTAAGTATCCTCACCTCAAGCTTTTATTGCAAATTAGTAACTGGCATCGATATGAACATTCTCGTCTCCTCTTTATCAGCAGGTAAAAATTGCAGCAAAACAAAAACAATCATATAACTTTGACAATATAATGATATCAGTATTTTCTAGCCTCAAGCATAAATAAAAAATTTGATAATGCAAAGAATATGTACTAAACTTTTGAACTAGCTTATTATAGCATGATTCACAAGAAAATGCTAGATATTGATGCAGCTACTGCTTAAAAAAAAAATCTTGCTTGAATAAAGAAAGAAAATTAAATCAAGCTTTGTAAGTTTTGATGATAGTGACCGTCTCACCTTAACTTTCTTATGCTGCAAATGGGATATTTTGCAGGAGAGATGCTGATTAGCCTTGCCAGAAGTTTCTTCATGGATGACATATCAACTGGTCTGGATAGCTCCACCACATATATGATTATCAAGTTCCTTAGGCAAATAGCACATATAATGGATACCACCATGGTTATTTCCTTAATCCAGCCATCGCCTGAGACATTTGAGCTATTCGATGACATAATTTTACTATGCCAGGGGCATATTGTTTATCAAGGTCATCGAGAGAATGTACTCGAGTTCTTTGAGTTCATGGGATTTAAATGTCCCGATAGAAAGAACATTGCTGACTTCCTTCAAGAGGTATTACCTAAACTGTATAGATAAAAAAATTTACTAAAATGCGTGGAATATCTACTGCTTTATGGCTACACTGAATTGTAAGTTTGAGCTAAATATGGTATTATATTTATCGTTAACAGTAGCTAGCAGCAAGTAACTAAATGCCAATTTGTCAACAAAATCATATATTTACCTTTCGTGATTAGTTGAATAGAATCTGAATGCTATCCACACTTTGTTATTTGACAAATGATTAGCAAACTCATTTATTTTGGCCTTATTGGCGCTGGTGAGATTAGGTTTGATGGTTCAATTAGAGAACATAATCATTCAATTAAATCCAATCATGTTAATAATGGCATGAGAAAAGAAAAGAGGATCGGTAGAAAGAAAAACAAAATTTCCACGCTTCCCTAGGCCTTCAAACTTTAGGTAGTGCGTCGTCTATGTTATATTCTCCTATTCTTCTACCAATATCTGATAATAATATTATTCAATTGCCTCATTTTAGAAACAGGTTCTAATTAAGTTTTTTTTTATTTTGTCCTTCTTTTAATTGCTGGCCTCAATGTCCTTTTTTTTTTTTTTTTTTTTTTTTTTCTTTTTCTCACTCACTAGAAACACGGCTCATTAGGTCATTTATAAAGCAATGGATATAACGAATAAAATGCTGAACTGGATATGGTGGCCTATATGATTTTTTTTTTCTTTTCCTTCCAACTTCCCCCACTTAGATTCTTCATTCAATTCTTCCAATGATCCATCATTTGAAAGGTCCATCCATACCAAAGCCAGCTTAAAGTCCCCACGCAGGAATATTTTTCCTGAAGTAATTCTTATAACTAGACAAAAAATGCCTTTATGTGCCTAAGTACAGATTAAACACAGTTCCAGGCATACCCAAAACTTCTATATGAATTTTCCTTAATAATTTATTCTCATCCATTGCACTTCAGATTTCATATTCAAGTACTTTGTTTCTTAGTTAATACTAAGGTTGTCTGAGAAATTAGAATAGTTCATAACTAGAAAAGTTAATCCTCCGCTAAAGTTTATAAATGCTATAATTTTAAATAATAGTTCAACTAAAAAATTCTAATCTAGCCTTTCTTTAAGTCCAAAGGCTGACTTTTGAAGCAGAACTCAACAGGTTATGCCAACTCCAACTCACAATCTTTCTTCTGGCATAGTTCTCAAAATCATAGCCACGTATCACATGTGATTATAGAAATAGCTTCCACCTGTTATATCAAAATACCAAATTACCTTAAAAAAAATTATCAACATTCTCTTAGAGACGGAACATGAAGTTTCTAGGAGACCATTTGATAAGCCTCCTGATTCAAATATTCACATCTAGCACAATAATAGTTTTTCTGAAAAGTTAAATCAACCAAATTGACAACAAAAACCTCCATTAATTGACTTATAACTTATCAAGTTATTTTTATGAGCCTTCACTCAGGTGACCTCAAAAATGGATCAAGAACAGTATTGGAAAGATAACCAAAGGGAACATCAGTACCTTCCAGTCGAAAAGTTTGCAGAATCCTTTCATTGCTATTATCTGGATCAGCGTGTTGATCATCAACAGCAAATAACAGGAGGCAATGTCAAGAGCGAGAAAACAATGGAAATCAGCGAAAGCTACAGAATCTCAAAATGGAAGGTATTAAAAGCATGCTTCTCCAGGGAAGTGTTACTATTAAAAAGGAACTACCCAGTACATGTATTTAAGAGCGTACAGATAATGATACTGGCTTTGGTGACCATGACACTTTTCCTTCGAACAAATATGGACCATCACTCATATGTAGGAGGAAATAAGTTCATAGCAGCTATCTTTGCTGGAGTAGTAATAGTGAATTTCAATGGAATGACTGAACTGGCAATGATAGTAAAGAGATTACCTGTCTTCTACAAGCAAAGGGAGCTCTTACTTCTGCCAGGATGGGCTCTTCTTTTCTCAAATTATATACTCAGCATCCCGATGACGTTGATTGAAACAGGCATATGGACTTCCATAACATATTTTGTCATCGGTTTTGCACCTTCAGCAACTAGGTATGATATTTTAACATGCAATCACCACAAATAGTCATTAATGCTGCACACTAAAATGAGCCTTTCCAAATGGATTCCATCATTGGTTGTGGCAGGTTTTTTCAGCAGTACCTGGCTTTTATCTCTGCACACCAAATGTCGATGGGACTTTTTCGCTTGATTGCTGCTATTGGGAAAACTCAGATGATGGCTAATACGCTAGGTACTGCAGCACTTATCGCAATTTACATCCTAGCAGGATTTGTGATATCCAGAGGTCAGATGAGAAGATAAAATTTGAACTTCCATACACAGTATTTAGTTAAGACATAAAATTGATATGTTGGTTTCTTTTCTTACTCTGATGTTACTAAAATCAGATGACATCCAACCATGGCTGAAGTGGGGTTATTGGTCATCTCCTCTGACATATGGTCAGAATGCTGTAGCACTAAATGAATTTCTGGACGAAAGGTGGAGCAAGGTAAATCTAGTCTTTAGATATTTGCCTAGCATAACTGGAATTCAAGTGAAAAATGATCTATGAATGATCTATGATATGTTTAATATTGAAACTTAAATGTTATTTGAATCCTACCCGGTGGCTATGACTTTTAGAAAAATAGCATAACAATACTGACAAGTTCCATTCATTTTTATCCTTTTTGGCAGAAAATAGACGGCAACAACAATGAAACCATTGGTGAGGTTTTTCTCAGATCAAGAGGGCTGCTCACGCAGTGGCACTGGTATTGGATTTCTATAGGCGCACTAGTTGGCTTCTCATTAATCTTCAACATTCTTACAATCTTTGCCTTCGAATATACCAAAAGTGAGTACTCGAACATCAATATGTAGAAGCATCTCAAGAATTTTAAAGAACTGTCATACAAGAGAAGAACTGACTATAATCTTCTGAAAAAACAGACCCGTACAAGCATAAAGTTACTGCTAGTGCTGAATTTAAGGATCTACAGCTTAATGGGAAAGATGATGAACAAAAAGGAGCTGGAGGAGTGTCAAGTCCTTTGCCTTTTCAGCCGCTGAACCTTGTATTCCACCACATCAGTTATTATGTGGATATACCAAAAGTAAATAGTAAAACTCTCCATTTAGCCAATTTTTTATAACAGTAGATTACCAATAGAAATCTTATCAGTTGAACTATCTTTAACATCCAAATAAGATAGGAAAGTTTTATCAAAATTAGTGTTATATTTAAGGAGCCTGATGGTAGAAATGGGCAACCAATAGGATTTTATGAGCTGCTAACTAATAATTTTCCCACTCCACGTTAATACGATCAAACAAAAAACCTATCATTCGATGTAAATAGATGCTCCTATGAAGCATCTCAAGCAATGCATTTTATATCTTATGATCAGGAAATGAAGAAAGATGTGGGGAATGGTAAGAGGCTTCAGCTGTTAAGGGATGTCAGTGGTGCTTTCAGGCCAGGCATTCTAACTGCTCTAATGGGGATCACAGGCGCAGGAAAAACAACATTGCTAGATGTTTTAGCTGGAAGAAAAACTGGGGGATGCATCGAAGGAAACATTACCATATCTGGTTACCCAAAAAGGCAAGATGCCTTTGCTCGGATCTCAGGGTACTGTGAACAGACGGATGTTCACTCTCCATTTCTCACAGTTCATGAATCTCTACAGTTCTCTGCATGGCTGCGCCTGCCTCCTCATGTTGAACAGCAAGCCAGAAATGTACGACTTACCTTTTTATCCTCCGTCTAAGAAAACCAATTGTTCATTACCTATTTGTGAGGCAAAACTCTCAACCATCTGCCGTTTTTTTGTCTCCTTAGGTGTTTGTGGAAGAAGTCATGAGTTTGGTTGAACTACAGCAACTGAAGAAAGCCATAGTAGGCCTTCCAGGAGCCCATGGTCTATCAGCTGAACAGCGGAAAAGGCTTACAATTGCTGTGGAGTTGGTTGCAAGTCCTTCCATTATTTTCATGGATGAACCCACAACAGGTTTGGATGCTCGGGCTGCAGCAATAGTCATGAGAACTGTCAGAAAAACTGTAGACACAGGACGAACAGTTGTTTGTACTATCCACCAACCAAGCATAGAAATATTTGAAGCTTTTGATGAGGTATGTATGAAAATCTTCGTATTTAGACACAAACTGCAAAAACAATAAACTCATACTCAAGACTTGGCATACATAAGATGAATCTAAAAGCAAGGTTTAAACATTTGGAAAATCCACCAGAACGTTCACTATCCATGAAAATTTCCCATAAGAATATCTTCATCTTTCAACAAAAAAAGTTTTTTGAGAATTTCTGCGGTGGATAAAACATGCTTTTTGTAACTACATAGAACGCCTCTTGCTGTAGACAAGTCGCATCAATTACACGCTAGGAAAATTTAGCCCAACCATAGGGACCTCCTATCAAATATGCAAGATACATTGGTATCTGATAAAACTCTGCAATAGTTTATGATTTATCATAGTTTTTCTACTTCCATGAACGAGTAGAAAACCATGTTTAACTTGTGAAAGAGTTCAGATAAAAAGAGCATACGATGGCTAAATTTTGACGAAAATTTTTTTGAGATGTACATTTTACTATTTCAACTGGCCAGCCAAATGTTTAAATCAGCCCTCGTATACTGCTATTTTTTTCCTATTATTAACGGCAAAATAAAAAAAATTGAAAAAGGAAACTTATTTCTAGCTCAACGTTACCATTGTGAACAGTACATAATTTACAAATTGAAGCGCCAAAAGATCATTAAGCGTTCTTTGAAATTCACAAAGCTTCTCAAGACAACCAGTTAAATATTTGGAGGATGATTAACGCATGACACAATTTTAAGTCATAAATTTCATCATGCAGTTACTGTTGATGAAAAGCGGGGGGCAGCTAATATACAGTGGACCCCTGGGACCTCTTTCTCAAACAATGATCAACTACTTCAAGGTAAAATTTATCATCCTTTTTTAATTACTGCGCATACTGAATGTGATCAATTAACGCTCATTCCAAGGCAGGCCATCCCAGGAGTACCCAAAATCAGAAAAGGTCAAAATCCATCCACATGGATGTTAGATATTACATCAACTACCATTGAGTATAATCTTCAAATAGATTATGCAAGCATCTACCGCAGTTCATCTCTTTACAGGCAAGTGAATGACAAAAGATTCCTCAAAAACTTGAGATATAAAACACAACAAAACTTCTGCTTTGTTTAATCAGATAATGCATCAATTTAACAGAGAAAACGTGGAGTTGGTTGAGGAATTGAGTAAAAGGCCACAAAATCTTGAGGAACTACAGTTCCTCACAAGTTGTTCCAGCTTCAAAATGCAATGCTTAGCATGCTTGTGGAAACAAAACAAATCATATTGGAAAAATCCAGAACACAATATTGTGCGTTTCATTACCACTATCACAACTTCATTACTTTTTGGTGTAGTATTTTGGCAGGCTGGCTCAAAAACGTGAGTACACAACTTTGCTATCAATCACTGTATTTGTGATGTTCTTTTCTGATAGTCCTACGCAATACATAACAGGACAAAGGAACAAGACATTTTCAATGTTCTAGGAATCATGTATGGGTCAGCATTATTTTTAGGTTTCACCAATGCCAGTATAGTGCAGCCCGTTGTGGGAACAGAAAGGACTGTACTATATCGAGAAAGAGCTGCTGGAATGTATTCAACTCTGCCTTCTGTAATTGCTCAGGTATTTTTCTATTACCATTGAAATGTATATTTGGCACACTTAAAACAATTATTTTTTGCATAATGATCAAGAGAAGAGAGGATTTAATTCACATACAACTAATGTTTTCAGGAAAAAACGAATTGTTTATTTATTTCGAGAAGTATAGCATGAAGTTAAAATTTCCAGTGTATTAACTAACTTGCCATGTTTCCAAACAAACTTCTTCAGATTTACAAGTAAGCTGAAGAACGATCTATGTATTTTAACTAAAGTATATGCAAGTAAACTGCTAGCATGGATTGAACAAATTTAATGAGAAGTCAGCATTATATAATGATTCATAATCCAATTTTGACATCATAACAAAAACACACAATCCTTATCATTAAATGCATCGTTTTCCTAGGTAAAATAAATTTGAACTCAACTCTCAATGTCACTGTGCCTGTTGAATATTTTCAAGAATTAAAATATTAAATAACAATAATAACAATAATAATAATAATAATAATAATAAATCACTTCATTGCCTAGTCCAGCCATAATAGGCTCATAACCGTTCATGCGAGACCTCTTCTGTTCGAAACAAAAAGGCAACACAACACGTGACTCCTCCATCTCATTCGCAAACCTCGTGTTATTGTTAAATATCCCATTATGATATAAAAATGGAGGGAATTTGATTTAAACCTATTTGTAGTTAAATGATAAAAGACTGAAATTTTTTTAATAATATTAACAAGATTGGCCAAAAATAATATTTAAACAAAATGCCAAGTTTTGTTTTGACATCAAAACTTAACATAATTTAGTAACTTATGACTGCTTAAATTCCATATTAATTTTCTAAAATTTTTTATTTTATTTACATTTTATAATTTTTTTACAAGGAATTAATTACAAGTTGTATTTTTCTCATCTAAATAAATTAAGGCCTTTATAAGTGAAATTTTGGGAAGAATATCTAAGGTAGCTTTTTATCAAAACATTTATTTCTCGCTACACAATAGATAGCCTCGTGTTCTGGTCCAGGATTTAAAAAAGCCTGTGGAGTTGAATTAATAATTCATGTCATTTGAGAGAGTTTAAAATATGTCAACAAAAAAGTCAAACGTGATAGCATTACTCGTAACTTTTGAACCTTCAAAAGCACATCATTACAAGCACCATAAATTTGAAACAATTACCACTTTAGTTCAACATTAACTTTAGACTTTAGTCATCCGGCAAGTTTAAAAATATGAAATATGTTCAGGAGAGGATAAATTGAGTTTAAGATAGTGGAATAAGCCCAAGTCTTTAATAGATCTAGAAAGTCGAAGCCTGCTATAGAAGATAGCAAATAGAAAGCTACTTTTCCTCTATCTTCCCTGCTTAAGCAAAGAAGTGAATAGATCTTGAAAAGGATGCATGTCAGATGGCCGTTTTTTTCAATTAGCAGAAACAGCATTTCAAAGAGAGCTGTGGATGGGGCTGCAAACCATTTTACTTGGAAAATATTCATTAAAGTCAGCTCTTCAACCAAAAAAAAAAAAAAACCACTCAAAAAGTAAATTATTATTGAAAATCTATGTAACACAATGCTCCAATGCCACCCTTCACCAACAGTTAAATGAGAAAATTTTAATGTGCAAAATTTTTTCTCTCATATAACTTTAAAGCCCAAGGATCAACTATGTCATCCTTTCATATGAACAAATCCTCCTAATTCATGTGCTTTCATCTTGTGCTTCATGATTTTCAATATGAATTGTTGTACATAAATTTTTTGGACAAGAATGACTTAAAAGATATATTATTTTTTAAGTTTTGCTCATCGTGAAGACGCTCCTTTGCCTTCCAAGCTTTGAATATGAATTAACAAAATAACACTAGCCTTATACATGCAGGTGGCAATTGAAATTCCATATGTAACAATACAAGTGCTCATCTTTTCAAGTATTGTATATACAATGGTAGGATTTCAGCTGGTCATCTCTAAATTTTTATGGTTTGTGCTATTCATCCTGCTAAGTTTCGCCTACTTCACACTTTACGGGATGATGGCTGTAGCATTAACACCAATACAAGATGCAGCTGCTCTATTGTCCTTCTTAATCTTTATCTTATGGAATCTCTTCTCGGGATTCATGCTTCCTAGAAAGGTTATGAATCTCTAACCATATTATCATTCACTGTCATAGATAACATATGATGTGCACTAAAATTATCCTAGTATTCATACAGATGATACCAACCTGGTGGAGATGGTATTACTGGGCCAACCCTGCTGCATGGACAATCTACGGTTTATTGTTTTCCCAATTAGGGGACCGAGATGACTTAATCCAGATCCCTGGGGAGTCAGATCAAACTATAAAAGAGTTCCTTGAAGATTACCTCGGTGTAGAAAGCACTTACTTCCCTATTATTGTAACCCTCCACTTGGTCATTATTGTTATCTTTTTCATTGTTTTTGTTGTAGGAATAAAATATTTGAACTTTCAAAAAAAATGATACAAACATATATTGATAGATAACTAGTAAATCAAGATTTCAAGTGTATGTACTCTAGCATAGAAGTTTATGCTATGTAGCAAGAAAATGTATTTACAAATTTAGTTATGTCAAATAGTGCAACTCACTTTGTTGGCATCTCTTCATTAAAAGGAATGAAAAATAAAAATTGAATTGTTGGTTCAATACATTGCACTGCATCCATAACAAGCCAACTTCTTTGGATAGAGTCTCACTATACATCACTCTAATTAATAGATGTCAGGTCTAAGGTGTTGTAGGAAAGTACACTCTAGACAAATGATGAGCACAAAAATATGAAAAGTACAAACAATGAGAATATTGGGAAAAAAATAAAATAAAATATTTGATGTGGTTCACTAAGATCAGCTTGCGTCTACAGCTACACAGAGGGATAAACATCTACTAATCCAAAAGTAAAAATAGGATAAAAATACGTAGTTTCCTCGTCTTATCTTACTAGCATTCTTGCTCTCTCTTTTTTTTTAACTAAACCTGAGTATAATTTACCCATTGACTATGCTTACTGCAGATATAGAGGAAAGCATTTTGCTTCCCATGTCTAATCATCTCACTGGTCACCAAATATTGTGATAGTCATTGATTTCATCTTGAGAAGGCATCTAACTTACAATTGTTACTCTAACCCTTCAGTGCTTGTTGTCAAACAGCCAACATGGTATAGCCATCAGTGCTCTTCAAGTTATATAGCTTCCACGTATGGTCTTATAGCTACTGTAAAGGGAGCCAATATCTACATTGCAATCTTCTTATTTCCACCTATCTCCACTCTCCAGTCCATGTCAGCCAGGTCAGCTCCCAAGCTCTGAAGTTTCCTCTCCGCTTCAATCATTCTCATCTAAGAAACGTATTGAGAAAAGCCAGCCGTAAATAGAACTTGCGCCTTCTACAATAATTAATCCACAAACGTGCACTCCACCTACGCCATAAAAAATAAACACGTGGAGCTTAACCGCCTGTAATATCAATACCACCAACATTTCGATATCATTTTTTCCAAATCACTCATAGTATTTGCAATGGTACCAAGATCAAAGTAGCCACTTTAACCTTCTCAACTTCTGGTTCTTCGGCTCCACCTTCATCACAGACTTCCTGCTCTACCTCTCCCCCAGGTTCAGTATCAGTATCCTATAAGAGGAAGCAGTGCTTAGGCAACAGGAGCAGATTGATATGATCCTTTGTAACGGATGGCGAGCACGAAAAGGAGGTTAAAGTTTATTTTATAAAATAGAAAATACTACTATTTAATAAAAAATAGGAAGTAATCGTAAGTTTTTCATTCCCGTCTATGGTAATGATTCCCCTCTACGTGCATTTCATCTTTCCACTCTAAGCATTCGCGTGATACATGCCCCCTCGTGGTCGCACTTGGTTCACCAGCCCAATGTCGCATAAATTATCAGAAGTTTACGTAGTTTGAACCGGCTCTAATAAGAGCTAATCAGAGGGTCCCACATCAACCTGTAGCCTTTTAACTTCGAAAAAGGCCCATGCACATGAGATAGATGGGGCAAATGGTTCCCATGAATCTGTAATATGTGGAACATGAGAAATATTGCACTGTTATTGCCGGGTCCCAAGCCCCGAACGTAAAAAGTGGAAGGTTGCATTAGGTAGTCGGCAGCAAGCATAAAATTTGTCGAAAAAATAATGACATGAATAATTTAAGTCCTTGTGTAATTGTTATGGCCTCCACTGGAAGGGACGTGTTTTATTGCTTGGATACAGTGAAAAGTGTGCAGGGGTCGCTACACTGGCCTCTATTGGATACAGTGAAAAGTGTGCAGGGGTCGCTACACCGGCCCCTAATGTAGTGTCAAATAAACAAGGATTCTCACATTACATACAGATGTAGATAAAGAAGTTAGTCCATGAAACTAATATTAGAATAGGACCTTTGAATATAGATTCTCTCACAAGTAAATTAATGGATTCAGTTGATATTATGGTTTATAGAAAAATAAATATCTTATGTACACAAAAAATTAAATGAGTTGAAGAAAATGATAAAGAGATTGATAGCTTAGATTTTAGACTTTGGTCTTCAGTTAAGAGTCGCACTAGAAATGGTGTAGGTATAATTATAGATAAGAGTTTGAAAGATAATATTGAAAAAATTAATATAATTAAAGATAAAATTATACCCTTAAAGATTGTTGTTAAAACTAAGATTTTTAAGGTTAACTGTTGATGCTCCTCAAGTAGGTTTAGATATAGGTTTAAAAAAAATTTTGGAATGACCTAGAAGAGTTAATACAAATAATACCTCTTGAAAAAATAAATTTTATAAGAGGAGATTTAAATAGAAATGTTGGTCGAGTGATAGAAGAATTTAAAAATATTCATAGTGCCTATGATTTTGGAGTGATTAATAAAGAACATAAATCCATATTAGATTTTATTTTAGCATATGATTTTGTTATTGCTAATATTTTATTTATGAAAAGAGATGTTCATATTAATACTTATAAGAACGAATCTTATAAAACACAAATTAATTATTTTCTTGCATAAAAAAAATACCGTAGAGAATGTAAAGACTTTAGGGTCATTCTAAGTGAAAATTTAATTACTCAACATCGTTTATCAGTTGTAAATTTTAATATTAACAGTTGTGCGATAAAGAAAATAAGAAAATATTATCATAGAATTAGATGAGGGGGCGCATAAAAGACAAACAAAATTATTTTTTATGAATAAACTTCAATATATCAATATTTAGGATGTTCATGAAGAAGTGAATTCTGTGTGCGGTAAAATAACAAGTACTATTAAACAAGTGGCAAAAGTTGTAATTGGAGAATCAAAATAGAATTTTTTTTATAAATAAAAATAGTTGTTGGTGGAATAATAATGTGCATGAAAAGAAAAAAATATAATAAGTCGTGTTATAATAACTGATTTAAATGTAAAAGCTTTGAGAACTAGAAAAAATATAAAGTAGTCCGCAAGGGTCTAAGAGAGCAATTTGTGACGCTAAAAATTCTGATTTTAGTGATTTTATAATAGATTGTATATTAAAGATGGTGAAAAATATATATTTAAACTAGCCAAACAAAGTGAAAAAGATTTAATTCAACTAAAATGTATTAAAAATGAAAATTAAAAAGTATTTTTCTAAGAGAAAGATATTCAACAAAGGTGAGAGAGCTATTTTGATAAATATTTCAATGAATTTTTTGAAAATACGATTGACATTAATGATCTTAATATCGTTAATAATAATAAAACATTATATTTTTATCTTCGCATTAATAAAAAAAGAAGTTGATGAAGCTCTAAAGAAAGCCAACGGTGGAAAATAAGTAAAACATGATGATATCCCAATTGAAGTGTGGTAATATTTATAAGATTTGGTTAAGAGATTTGGGAGCTCTTTAATATTATTTTAAAAACTAAAAAGATGTCTGAGGAGTGTAGAAAGAGCATTTTGATACTCATTTTAAAAATAAAAGAGACGCACAAGTGTGTGCAAATTATAGAAAAGTTAATTTGATGTGTCATCCTTTAAAATTATGGGAGAAGTTAATTGAACATAGGTACAAAGATTGCTCATAATCAATTTGGATTTATGCAAGGCAGGTCATCTATGGAAGCTATACATTCATTGAGAGGCTTGATGGAGAAGTACAGAGAGAATAAGAATGATCAATATATGATTTTATTGATTTAGAAAAAGTTTGCGCTAAGTTTTCACGTGAAGTCCTTTGGTGAGTTCTAGAGAAGAAAAATGTTAATATGACTTATATTCAAGTCATTAAAAATATGTATACTAAAGATGTAACTTGTGTTCAAACATAATATGACTTATATTCAAGTCATTAAAAATATGTATCCTAAAGATGTAACTTGTGTTCAAACATAATGAGAATTGACCAAATGTTTTCCTATTTCAGTTGGATTGCACTAGGAATCGGCTTTAGGTACATATCTTTTTGCTTTAGTTATGGATGCTCTTACTGAAGATTTACAGGGGTATGTAGCTTGGTGTATGCTTTTCGCTTATGATATCCTTCTTGTGGATAAAACTAGAGAAAGAATTCAGAAAAAACTTCACTTATGAAGGTCTACATTGGAGTCAGAAAGCCTTCCATTTGAGTAGATTGAAAACTGAATACATGGAATGTAATTTTAGCAGTAGTAACTTTAGTGGCAGAGTTGTAACCATGCTGATCAAATCATTCAAAGGTGTGAACGTTTTAAATATCTCAGTTCTATAGTTCAAATTAATGGTGACATAGATAGGGAAGTTATTATTAGAATTCAAGTTGGTTGGTTGAAGTGGAGGAATGCATCTAGCATATTGTGTGATAGCAAAGTACCGTTTAGACTAAAAGGAATATTTTATAAGATGGTGGTGAGACCTGCAATGTTATGGCGCAGAATGTTGCCAAATCATAGAACAAAATAAAGTGTTGTTGAAATGAGAATGCTTAAGTGGATGAGTGTGAAATGAATAAATCTGTGATAGGGTTGGTGTAGCTCTAGTGTCGAACAAGATTAGAGAGTCGTCTTAGATGATTTATTCACATTAAACGACGACCATCTGATGATCCGGTTAGGAGAGTATATGTTTAAATTCAACTTATGTTAAGAAAGACAGAGGTAGACCAGAAAAGACTATGAAATATTGTATAAAAAATGACATTAATCTATTAGTATGAAAAGAAAATATGACACTCAATAGGACGCAATGAACAAATAATTCATGTAACCAGCCCTACTTAGTCAGATAAAAGTTTGTTGTTGTTGTTGTTGTTGTTGTTTTTTTAGAGTGTCATCTACTTTGATATAGATTCATTTCTTTTTTTTAATTTCATTTTTTTTAGAGTGTCATCTACTTTGATATAGATTCATTTCTTTTTTTTAATTTCATTTTTTTTAGAGTGTCATCTACTTTGATATAGATTCATTTCTAATTCATGTAACCAACCCTTAGTCGGATAAAGGTTTTTTATTGTTGTTATTATTGTTGTTATTGTTGAATTTTATTTTGATAGGGAGCTTAAATAAATTTTTAGAGTGTCATCTACTTTGATATAGATTCATTTCTTTTTCT